GAAGGAGATAAGGTGTCACAACAAAAATGGTTTATTAGCTCAGAGGTGATCTGACAACAGTGTTTGAGTAAATAAAGGGCTACAATTTGAAGGATATTCACTGATTTTCTACCTTTTTTGGGGAGGCCCGAAACAAGAAAATTGCCTTAAATTAAAACAGGCATGATTCTGGTTAGCCAAAGGTCTAGTTTGATTCTGTCCATAACACCAATAAAGCAGTAGAAATAAATACAGGATAAAAATATCCAGAATCAGAGGTTACAAGGAGCTCAGAGGTCACATAACCCAACCCACATCTGACCCATAATTCCTTCTACAACATCCCCAAGTAGTCAGCTACCCTCTGCTTAATGGCCAACAAGGAAAAACCCAATACCTCCAGAAGGAGGTGGCCATTGCACTTTGAGGGTAGCTCTAATTATAGGAAAGACTTCCCTTAAGTGGGCCTTAAATCTGTCCCTTTGCAACTTCTATCTACTGCTATTAATTCTAGTTCCACCCCCTGGAGACAAGCAGAACAAAGCCAATCCCTCTTCCACATGACAGCCTAGTTTTCTGGTCTCCAAGGCACTATCCCCAGTTCCTTCAACCAATCCATTGTATGTCTTGCATTCCAGTGCTATCATTACTCTGATGATTCTCCTCTAGACACTCTCCAATCTATTTCCTTTCTTATACGAAGAGCCCAGAAATGAATGCAGTATTCTATCTCTGGCCTGATAAGGACAGAGGAGAAGAGAACGTTTACCTCCCATATTCTGGACACAACACCCTTCTTAAAGCAGCCTGGTTGTTTGGGTTGCCACATCCCACTGGGGACTCATGTTCAGCTTCCAGGCAAACATCTGCCCTACTCCCCAACATAATTTTCTCTAATCTCAAAAGAGAACAGAAGAAGGGATGAAAGATTTAACGGTGAAGTTCTCAACCGTCTGTGACAAGGAAAGCAAAAAAAAAAAAAGGAAGGGGAAAGAGTTTCTGAGAAAAGGTGATGTGCTTTCCTCACCCCTTCCCTACTCACCTTTGCCAGGATCGGCAGATGTTTACCATGATACTCCATTCACTCTACTAAAGTGGTACAGTGAGAGTAATAACAGACAAAGTCCATTTCCCACCAGCATAAATACTTTAGATAATCTCCTGAGTACTTATTACTGGGGAGGAGCTAACATAATAGTTAAGACCTGGGTTTCAGGCCTTCAGAGCCTCAAAAAAGGAATACAATGGTAACTACTGAAAGTGGATGATACTGGGAAATAAAATTTTAAAAAGGAGTTGAGGTAACAAAATTAGCTATTGTAATCTTATATAGTTTCACACATCACATACTAAATGTGTGCCCAATTATGAAGGTTAACTAGAAACTCAAAATGGCTATCCCTGCTTTGAGACAATACTCCCTTAGCCACATGAATTTTTAGAAAGATTTTAATATTCAAACGATGTCTGGGCTTTCATATTGAAAAGGATTCTAGCCAGAATTTAACACTTCAAAAAAGTAACTATGGTTTGTAGGGTACAACACATACACAATTAACATGAAGCTCAAATCAGAGTTTCATCTTTTTTACTATTATGATCCATTACAATTTGAGTGACAACATTTTGCAAAATACCTTGTCAGTAAGTGGGAGCTATATATCTGGTCCTTGCCCTCAATGTCTCCACCCCTGCTTCTTCCAGGACCTCCAATGAAGGTGAGTGGCTAGCTCAGGCCAGCCATCACCTCATGGCTCACCACACTGCAATCTCTCCGTCTCCATTATGCCCAGACACTGGGTACCTTCCTCTCCCTTCTCCTTTTCAGCTTTCTTTTATGTGTCTTCCCCCATTAGAATCTAAGTCCCTTTAAGGCAGGGGCCATCTTTGTTTTCGCTTCCATTCCCATGCCTAGCCAGTGTGCCTGACTGGCAGACTCAGTGTGGTAACCAATCAAACTGAATACATATGGTCACAAATGAACACTTGGGTGGAGGGGGGATAAAGAAGAGGCATGAATGATGAATAATAATCATCATGTTACAATGAAGTAGAAAAGGATATTTATGCTCCCTAACTTCCAGTTTGTCACTTTGATATCTTTTCAAGCAGAATACATATGTTTAGCCCAAAGGAAGCCAACTAGTTTATTAGAAATTGCTAACATGCATAAAATTTATTCCTGTTGTTCTGTTTTCCATAATAATCTGTCTTGTCACTAATGCTAACTATTAAATTACCACTGCACTAAATTGAAGCTACTTTAAAATGGAAAACATGAGGCTTAATATTTCCAGAAAACTGAATGTAGACCTCTTCCCACTTTCTTACCAAACTTTTATTTGTGCTGCCTTCAATTTCTTTTTTATATTAATTTTCTCTCTTATGCTATTATGTTCATCACTCTACACCTCTCTTTTGTGGCTTCTTTCAAGAAAAAAAAAATCAGCTTCCTGTGTCTTAAAGAGTCAGATTTAAAAAGCTATTAAAAGATTTTACATCAGTACTATATACATGAAGTAAAATAATAAAGAATAAATTCAAAATGAGAAATAAAATTCATTTACCAATCAGGAAAGACTCATTTCTATTCCATTAAGAGTCAACCTCACTATACTGATGGGCAGCTAGGTGGCACAGTGGACAGAGCACCAGGTTGTTTGTCCTTCATTCCAGAACAGGACCACAAAATGTAAGTGAACTGGATTTAAGTGAGTGAAGACTGTGCAGTCACCAGCCTCACTTTTTCCTCTGGAGCCATCTGAATCTAGAGGCAAGATACAGATCAGGATGACTGATGACAGCCCTGGATGCAGAAGGAGACCTTGGCCTTTTAAGCTAAAGTCTTTAACAGGTTTCAGTTTGTCTGAGGCAACATTCATTCAGTGATTAAGGATAGGTAAGAAAATAGAGCACCAAGACAGGAATCAGGAAGATTCTTTTTCATGAGTTCAAATCTGGGCTCAGATACTTACTAACTGTGTGACCCTGGGTAAGTCATTTAACTCTGCCTCAGTTTTCTCATCTGTAAAATGAACTGGAAAAAGAAAGAGCATACCACTCCAGTACCTGTGCCAAGAAAATCCCAAATGGGGTCATGAAGAGTTGGACACAGCTGAAATGACTAAATGACAACAAAAATTACATTAATACTTGAGGCCAGCTGTCAATTAAAATTACTGCTGAGAGTATTTTTTTTGATGACCGTACTGGAATTACTCTTGACGATATTTCTATGTAAATGTGCTTTTTCGTGAATAGCTCCCTCCAACCCACTCCATCCCTCCTTTTAAAGTAAGGCTATGTATATTAGGGAACACTAACTTCTTTTCCTCTTTCAATACTTCTATTAAAAATTACTCTGCTTAACTTTTTTTTAATCTGAATTCAAATAAATAGTTGCACAGTAGACTCACATAAACAGATAAATATCTTTGGACAGACACAGTGAAATCATACAAATCATTTCTGAATAGCAGGCTGAGTTCAATATCTTTTTGCTAAGTCAATACTTTTTGATTTACATGCAAACAGAAATAAGCTCTGTGAATAGTCTTATAGTAGTGGGCATTACTTGAACTTAATTGTACAAATTTACATCGTTTAAGAAAGCAGCATCTTCTTTGGGAAAGAAAAACATAACTTCTGGCATGCCCTAGCAAATTTCATTAAGCATTCAGCAAGTTCCTAGGACTCTGATAATTTTTTTTTTAATTTCCTATTCAGTCTTTCCTTATTACCAAGATAACTGGGTTAAAAGGCAGTTTTTGTCCTCCCCCACTTCCACTTTTGTCCACTCGATTTGGTCAGTGACAGAATAATCCCTTATTAGTGGCAGTATAGTCCAACATTAGCAACATCAGAACCTCTTCCAGAAGGTTATTGCAACATCACGTACGGTGAAAGTCATTACGCAACTTGGGCAAATACACTTCCTTTTTAATCAAAGGATAAAAGAAAAAAATATGTAACACACACAAAAATTATCTAGAGATATCCTAGCATGGCACAAATTAATTCTACAATATTTGCCCAAGCAGGAGGCTCTTTCTTATGTGAAGCAGCTAAAAATGTAAGCCTTCAACCACAAAGCTGGCAAGGCAGGAGCTGTTACCCTACTTTGGTTTAGTAAAAAGCCAATAACGATCAATCTCTGATCCACAGTTTGAGTTAAAGTGGCCTCAGTCATAATTTTTTTAAAGCAAAGTTTTTTCCACACATCACCCAAACAGAATATATGCATTAATACCACGAAAAAAACTGCACTGAAGGAAAATGAAGCTTCCACGTTTATATTAACTACAGGATTGTGTTTCAGCCACAGTGTTCCTGGACAGGAAACCAAAAGGTAGATACAGGGTTAGAAAAACAATGGTTTCTTCTGTGCTGGATTCTGTGGTCATTTTATTACTCTCTACATTTTCCCATACAAATATTCTAATGATAAATATAGCTAACTCTAAAAAGGCTCCCACCTCTAAGACTCCTGTTTAGCCAAATATCCTAAGTTTTACAGTAAGAATTGCCTTCCCTCTGAGATTTCAATTTACATTATATATCATATCATTTTTTTTGCATGTTGTTTCCCCATTAGAAAATGAGTTCCTTGAGGGCAGAAATAGTGTGGTTTCACTTTTCTTTGTATTCCCAGTACTTAGCACAGTGCCTAGCACATAATAAGCAGTTAATAAAAGCTTGATGAGTGACTGAGAAGGCATTTCATGTTTCCTCTGGAGAATACCAAGAATTGCATCCTACTGTGCCAATAGAGAAAGGGTTTAAATAGAAAAAGTTTTAAACACATCCACATACTAAGTAGAATCTCTACTAACATAACATAAAATATTCCTATTCCTAGGTTTGTAATAACGATGACCACAGTTCTCACACAAGGCCTCTGGGTGAAGATACTACAGGAATGAAATGATGCATAATGGCCCAGGTTTAATGACCAGATACAAATTTAATAGTTGTCTTTAATAGAGAGAGAATTAGTCAGCAAGTACAATGTCAATACTGACCTTGTTGCTCATTATCTGTTTCCAGTTTTGAAGAGCCCGGAGCTACAGGAAGGGGTCGGGGTGGACGAGGCTTTGGTGTAGGAGGTGAAATTCTTTTCCTTCCAATATATTCTACATAAGTTCCTGGAAAGTCCCCTCTTTCCCCTGTTGTTTCGTTAAAGCCACTCAGCCAACCAATTTCATCAGGCTTTGCTTCTTCACCTTCACTGAATCCAAGTGCTACTAAGGACCCTTTATTCACAGTTAATACATCCCCCACGTGCAAGTCAATATCTTCTTCCCGTTCTTTTTTATACTCATACAAGGCTCTATATTGGTAGCCTTCAGCACTCATTTTTGCCAATGTTACCATTCAATGACTGAGTTTTGTTATGTTATCTTTATGTGAGAAGAGCCTGGGGAGAGTGTCTTAAAACACCTAATGTAATTCCAGAAAAAGTTAAAATTGAATTCTTCAAAGGTTTAAAAAGAAAGGTGATCTGCCATTCTACTGCCCATGTGTCCTCCATCAATGGCGTGGCAGGAGAATGTTTGCCACTTCCTCCCTTCAGATGGGCTCCTTTTCTCAATTCTCTGGGCTTCAAACACTCAGTTGAACTGCACAGTCAAATGCCATCTGCTGTTGTGATGCTCTTGCCACTGACTGTCCATCAGCCTTAAGATCTTACAGCTGTACCTTGCACACATGCTTTACCTAGTAAAGAAAAAACAGAATACTCATTAACTTCAAACTTACTGCTTTTGTCCATCTGAAATTTCAATATGATACACACATTTTACCTTTGGTTTTTTTTCTGTACCTTATCTTTTTGTACAGAGGTTAAAACTTGAAAGCTTCGGTTCTAAATATCACAAAAAAGCAAAAAGAAGTTTCATGTAGATAGACAGAACACGCATTTATATACAATGACTATATCTTATGTAAATATGCTCATATATTCAATATACTGCTTTATATATTGAGTTTTACATATTTGTTGAAATTATATATTGTCATAATTTCAATATCCTATTATACTCAATCAAACAACAAATTTTTTAAAAGCAAGTATCTATGTACTGGGCATATAAAAACAAAAAATCAAACATTCCTGGCCCTTGAGAAACTTAGATTCTATTAGGGCAGTGGCTTCTACGTGTTATAAGGATATAAAAAATAAAGACAAGGTAGTGAGATGGGGACACTAATAGCAGAGAATTTCAGGGGTTTCACGTAAAAAGTGTCAGGTAAGCTGAGCTCTAAAGAAAACTAGGAATTCTAGGAAGCAGAGGTGAGGAAAGAATGTGTTTCAAGCCTGGGAATGAACCATCAAAAAAAAACTTATTTAAGTATTCCAGACTGAAGGCACATTTTAAAACTTCAGTATCACAGCCATTTAAAATTCTAATCTTTTTTTTAAAAACCTAATTATAAATTAAATGATTACATGCTGACATTTCAAAGTGTATTCATTTTTCCATAGTTAAAATTTTAGCCCTTTCCGAAGGCAATAGCACTGTTAGGACTGCTACATATTTAGGAAAATATATATTAACATAGAAATTTTTGTGTAGCAAGAACATTCATCTGGAATTATAGTTTTGTGTTTCAATTCTATCAATTAAAAAATAAAGGCAATTACCAGGTTATATAAGGGTGAGAAAACTCCTTTGTCTAATACCTATTCAGAGAGCAACTTTGTTTTTTGACAGAGCCAGAATCAACCAAACTAACAAAAGATGCTTTTTTAGAACCAAACTTTCAGGGTGCTGCTGTAATGGAGGCACAGAACTCATAAAAATATCCATATCTCCAACTGTCTGGAGACAGAGGTGGAGGAATTTTTTTTTTCTAGCAGGAGGCTAAAAGCCACTGGAGGGAGTCCCTACCCAGCTGTAGACTGCCACAGGCGTCGAAATTAGAAGTGCAATGTACAAAGGAGGATCCATTTCCCAGCATGTGCCTTGGCTCCAGAATGGGCACTCTAGATCCTGCCCTGCCACCCTGAACTCTTGACTGGCCAGAATTCTCAGTATCTAGCTCCACCCAGATCCCCAGCATGCTGCTCTGACTCCCCTCTATTTCACTCTCTACCCTTTTTCCACCTCTCAACACTACCATTTCCACAAAGTACACATCAATCAATTGCCCTATGGCTCCACTCACTATCCCTGACTTCCTAGACCAAAATACTTCTTCCCTGCTTATCCCTCAACAATATATGTTGTCTTCCCCTCTTACAAGATAATTGTTGCGAGGGCAGGAACCATGTTGCTGTTTCTATTTTATCTCAGCATCCAGCACAGTACTTAGTAAATGTTTTTTTTTAATCAAGAAAAATAAATTGTTTATTCTTTTACATTTACCATTTTCTTAGTAACTTCTTTGCCTCTGTTTGTTATTAGAAGAAACCTAAGGAGTTCATGTTGGGAGTGCTGGCATTACTGAATGCAGTTTCAACAGGTCTTCTAAATGATTCTGTCATCTATGAAAAGTGGGATCTTTATATATTACAATCTGTAAATATTAATTTCCTATATATTCTCCTGCCTGTGCTAGCTATTGCAGGTGATTTAACATTTGCACATGGAGGGAGCCAGGATGCCTTACTACTTTCAGACTTCAAAGAATCTCTCCTCTGCACAGGGCAGGTGCTAATCCATTCATGCTTTCTCATCCTGTGCATCTCTTTGTCCATAGATGAACACACTATGATGCTGTCAACGTAGAGAGCTCCCTCCACCAAAATTCTATTACTTCAGTAATCCTAGGTAGTTGCTGGACTCATCTAGAGGATTAAGTGACTTGTTTGGACTCACACAACCAGTTAGAGAAAGACAGGGTTTGAACCCAGGTCTTCTGGGCTCTAAACCCAACAGTCCACCCTGCCCTCATTTTGTCTATTGTTCATGTACTCCCTTAAATCCCTCCTAGAGAGTCTGGCCGCCATGTTGGGGACCTTCCTTTATGTCTCTCAGCTTTGTAAGCAGCACAAATGATGCAAGTAGGCGGTCCATCTGTTATCACTTGCTCTTGCTGTATCCTATTTCCTTTTCCAGCCATAGATCGATTTGATGACATCTTTTGATTGCAAAGAAGATGATAATAGCAGTTCACATTTATATAACCCTTTAAAGTTTGCAAAGGGGACTTTTTTTGCACCCCATCCCCGAGGCATCCATGCATGCACAGACTTTAGAGGGTCTGTGAATTCAGATGGGAAAAAAAAATTACATCTTTATTTCCATATAATTGGTTTCCTTTATAATCCTATGTAATATAAGCATTTAAAAACATGATTCTGAGAAGGGCCCCTCCCCCACTGACTTCCCCAGACTGTCCAAGAGGTTGAAGACACTTACCAAAGTTAAGAAGCCCTGCTCTTCTAACTCTATGATCCTAAGAAGTGAATGGAGAAGGCAGTGGGAGAGTCTGACCCGAGGTCCTCCCTTTTCTCCTGACTGTTATTCCTACTCCCATGCAGCCCCTGGGGAGGCCTACACTTGACTTGTCTGGCTGCCCAAGCCAGTTCTACAACAGTGGCCCTAGCTCACTATCAACAGCTTCAGTCTGTAGGTTCCCAGAGTGTAGTGTCTCACAGTTTACAGATCCCCGAAACTACTTTGGGAAGGTAGCAACGGGAATGGAACTTAGGAGAGTCCTAAGAGGCTAAATGCTAAAATGTGCTATTAGCATGTGAAAAAACTTTAAATCAGAGGAAATAAGTAAAGCTTGGATACTTTTTACTCCTGAAAGTCTTATGTCCCCCCACCTTGCTCCTGTGGCTAGTTCAGACATCCCTATTTTGGACTTAAGTCAGGAAGAACTGGGTTCACATCTCACCTCTGACCATATATCCATAGATATATGATACTGGGAAAGTTATTTCTTTCTTTCAGTATCTTCATCTGGAAAATTGAGATTATTATCCCTGAACAACCTAATGGATACTGTGAAGCTCAAATGAGATACTGTATGTAAAGTGTCTTCTAACCTTTAAAGCACAGCACAGATAAAAGTTTTAATTATTACTCCCTGCTGCTTTCTCAGTTCTACTGTTATGTCAGGCTTTTCCACCTGAGCTACAGAGGCAAAGATTTTGCCTTCCAACTTCATATAGGACAAAGGGCATTAGGGAATCCAGAATCACATGGGTTATCACTGTCTGAACCACTGGACCACTGCTTCCTCTTCCTCCTCCCACTGTTCCTGTTGGTACTCCAGATGGTCCAATAGCCTCAAAACTGGTCAATGGGGGCAGCTAGATGGTGCAGTGAATATAGGACTAGCCCTCAAATCAGGAGGACCTGAGTTCAAATATGTCCTCAGCCACTTGACACTTACTAGCTGTGTGACCCTGGGCAAGTCACTTAACTCTGATGGCCTCACACACACCAAAAAAAAAAAATTGGTCAATGCTCAGTAAAGACTCTTAAAAACCATTCAGGACCCAAGTTATACATACTGTCAGGCTACTCATCTCCCAAGTCACTAAGGCAACATCCTCCCCAGCTGGGTAGATATGACCAAAACGAATAGTTAACAGGTATCAATGACATAACTTTATCCTCATGATCTCATTTGATCTTGACTACAGTCACTTGTCATAGATGCTCTTAAGAGGCTAAAGCACAATGAGAAAATAGGCTTGTAGAACCCTGTAATGCTATTTTTACTATCATAACTGTCTAATAAATATTTTCTTTTCAAATTTAATATACAAAGGGGTTTTTTTGAGAGGCTTATAGATTTAAAGCTGGAAAGGACATTAGGGGCCATGCAATCCAAACCCCCCATTTTATGGATGAGAAATCTGAAACCAAGGGAAATTAAGTCACTTACCCCAAGAACCATACAGCTAGTCTGAGGTCAAACTCAAATAAAAACAAGGGCTCCTAATTTGTACATAAGGATCCCTTCAGGCCACATATTAACTCTGTTTTAAAATATAATATTATTGTTGTTTTACTGCCCTCTTATTTATTTTTGTTAAATATTTTCCAGTTATGTTTATCTGGCCTGGGAGTGTGGTAATATTTCACTACTGTGCAACAGATCACCTACTTTGTTAATATCAATTAGCTAATATTGAGACCTTTTCAAATTACAACTGCAAAATTTTAAGACAAAGGCATTTAGTCTATTCATTTTTTTTCCATTAAGAACTATAAGACTACATTACAAGGACTACAGATTAGCACAATACACTAAGAATGAACTTATTCTGATCTAATTTTAACTTACAAAAGTACTAGTCCCATTAGTACAATTTTGCCTCAGTCTTTTTTTCTTTTCCCCTGCTTTTTGGCAAGGCAATAGGGAGTTAAGTGACTTGCTCAGGGTCATACTGCTAGTCAGTGTCGAGTGTCTAAGGCCGGATTTAAACGCTGGTGTTCCTGAATCCAAGGCTGGAGCTCTATCCACTGCACCCCCTTGCCTCACTTTTTTAGTCTAGACTAAACTTTGGTAACACTGGAGTGCATGCCACACCATTAGTTAGAGAAGGTGTATTACCTCACCACTAAAATTATAGCCAATTCTGGATTATAAAACTTTTTTATGTTCAAAAAGGAACTGAGAATCGATCGCATGAAGGCTTTTAGAGTTGTTTGTCACAGACAATTGGCAAAGGCCTAATGGTAACATATTTGAATTAAAAAAGGACTTTAATAATAATAGGTGACATTTCCACAGCACAAAGTTTTGCAAAACAC